GGCGCAGGATGCTAACAGGCTTTCTCAGTGCAAAGAAGGGCACAGAGAAATGCTGGCTGAAGACATGAGCCACTACCATCCCAACCCTCTGACACTCTGCATATGTGTTGGCTTACAAGTGCACCCTCATCCTGAGGAGAGCTTGGTCTCCTTTAGAGCTCTGTTCTTGGGAAAAGCTCTATTCGCAAACTCCCTATGAAGCAATAGCCACCTGCTACCACCTCTGTAACTGGGAACTGCTTTGCAGAAACAAAAACAGAACTAAAACACATTACCAAAAGGACATCCTCAAAATACATTAATTTATCTGAAATCTAACTTTGTTTAGTTTCAGGCACACAGCTTAAAGGATCTGTACGCCTGGATACACAGAAACAACTGCACTCCTCGCAGGCACATGCCCTTCAGAGAGCATCTCCATCAGAGAGCAGCAGGTGAGAGAAAAGAGCGTGCAGAAAGCACTTACTGCACAAAAAGGCTCCAAATCCAAACAAAACAAAAACAAATGCAAAATCCAAAACACCAAACCCAAATAAACTAATTCTGCACACATATGTAATATATTTCAGTTTAACTGACTTAATAGTTCATATAATCAAAAGACAAGTTAAAAGAGAAGGGATCTCAGAGAGGAGGCCCACCTCTGATCCCCACACAAATGAAATTCAGAAAGCTGGGGTAACAGCCAGGAGAACAACATTTGGACGATATTTGATATTATGATGGCTGAACAGCATAAAGCTTGGCACAAAAAATGATCCAGCTGGAAACAAATGTTTCTTTTCAAGCAACCTGACATGTGTTTGCTTTGAAGCTGTCGTAATTAGATGCCTTTCAATAATGAGCGATCTATTCCAACATCTATAGCAGCAAAAGAAAAGCCAGCAACTTTGTATAAAACATATAAAGCATAGATCACCAAGCTGTGGCCAATTCACCAGGACTAAAAGGATCAAATAGCAAAGCTGATTTTCTTAAGAACAAAAAACCCCATACAACCACACCTGAAACCATAGCAGACTATCCAGAGAACACGGGAGCAACAGTGATGGTGTAGGTCCGGTAGTGAAGGACAAAAGAGGAACATACTTGTTAAGAGTACGCTTTTGTAACAGTAACTAGCTGAATCAGAAAAAGTTGACAACTTGAAGGACAAAGACCTCTTCCCAGACCTGAAACTAGCAGATATTCCAGATCACACCAGAAATAAGCGTACATAACAGGAGTCTTTTGTATTTAGAACTGAAGCACCCTGAGAACTAAAATGTAAATTGGAAGACAGGAGGTCACAGTCATAGCAAGAACTAAAATGCAAACCAGAAGAGAGAAGATCACAATCAGAATGAAAGAAGTCATAGGTAACTGGAAAACTTGCTTTAATATTGCATCACGCAAAGCCAGTTGTGGCAGATGGAGCAAGAAAGTACTCCACAAAAAAACACCAGTAAAAAACTGAACTGTGTGTCCTGCCAAGAAACCTGGAGTTTTACCTAACTTTATACCACAATTGTATAATCAATGTGTTCATGTGCCTTCAGTCTCTAAAATGAAATTTTAAGGACACCCAGGCCCTTGACACTTAATAGTAGTACATTAATATTTGGAGGTTTTAAAAAGTAGTTATTTTCTCACACATTAGAAGTCTGCTCAGCCTGGAGAAGATGAGACTGAGGGGATGTTACCACCCGCCCCAGAAAAAGGGAGGGGGGTAACCCAGGTTTTTATCAATAATTCCCTTGGAGTGGATTAGAGTAAAACAACACTGAATAATCGGTGTCTGAAAACATATACTGGCAAGGTTTATTTTAACAATTCTGTATCAACAGGCATGCTAGCATTTCTCTGTTGTCATATAACAATGTGGCATAGAGATACCCTTCGGCGGGGGGGAGGAAATGCATAGGGGACAATTTTGCATCAACAGGTATGCTAGAATTTTAGGTGCTGTCATATAACAATGTGACATAGAGATAACCTTTGGGTGGGGGGGAGAAAATGCATAGAGGAGAGAAAGGCAGGATAAGAGTAAGGGAAAGAAAAGCTGAGAGTGGACAGATGTATATAGTCACCGCTCACGGGGTCCAGCAATGAAACTTAGTAGTTGCAGCTTCCACGTCTGTCAGTCGAAGTGGTGGCCTTGATCGGCTGGGGGTGAAGGAGGGAAGCCCCCACACTCCAAGAAGTTATGAGTTATTATATCCATGGTCAGTGTCAGGGGCCATGCCTCGAGCCTCCAACCTCTCCCTGGGCCCTGCGCAAGAGTTACTGTGTCTGGCCCGGTTCCCACCCTTTTCCCGACTGGCAGAGGGGAGCGATGGGCTCCTATGGGCCATCAGAGGTACAATGCAACAGTCAAAAGCCAGCAAGCTTGGCTCTTGCCTTTTCAGGGCTTCAAACCTTCAGCACTGGAGGGAGGGAGGGGCCGGATTGCTCATCAGAGGTATAATGCAAGTCAAAAGCCTGCAAAAGTCTCCTAGAATGCATAAGTCATCAAACATTTCAGTCTCTGACAGGGGAAACCTCATCATGGTCTACAGTTTCCTCATGAGGGGAAGCAGCGGGGCAGGCACTGATCTCTGCAGTGACCAGTGAGAGGATCCAAAGGAATGGCCTGAAGTTGTGTCAGAGGTTTAGGCTGGATATTAGGAAAAGGTGCTTCACCCAAAGGGTGGTCAGGCACTAGAACAGGCTCCCCAAGGAAGCGGTCATGGCCCCAAGCCTAACAGAGTTAAAGAAGCGCTGGGACAATGCTCTCAGGAATGGTGTGTTTCTTGGGGTTGTTGTGTGCATTTTAAGTCGCCCATATGCTAACACAACTACCAAAAAGGCATGTGTTTCTTTTTTTTTCCTTCTTATTTACCCTGATATTTGACTAGAAAACAAGAAGGCAACTCCAGCATGCCAAAAATCAGTACCTGATAAATATGTGGGAAGAATTTCAGAACATGAGGCTCATACAGCAGTTTAGCCTGTGAGAACTGGCATAGGCACACACAAAACATCAAAAAAGGTGAAGGGCTGGCAGGCGGGCTGCCCTTCAGCAGCAGGAATTTGGATCCACTACTGGGAAGTTACAACATGTAAGCCTGTGAGTTTTGGATTTCAAAAGCTAGCAAGATACCTACTATTATTTTATTTTTAAAAAGTCTTATTAAGCAATTTTAGTGCCGCTGACGGAGCGAGGACTTTCTGAACAGATTCCTAGCATGCTGTGAAATCACAGAAGACAGAAATAAGGACACTGCAAAGGAGTTATCTTGAGACCCTGATGCATAGCAGCCATAGCTGGAGACTGTGCTCCAGGGACAGGAAGGGGACGGACATGCTGTGTGAGAGCACCAGCAGCACACTACAGTCTTCCCTCTCCTTTCACCCCCATGCAGACACAGCAAAAAGCACAGGCAACAGTGAGAACTAGTTCTTTAAAAACCACTTCAAACACTAATTTAATTGATGAGATGCTACTTTCCCCTGCAGTAGGACCCTGAACCCAAAATATCAGGAGGCTCCACTACTGAAAACTCACTGTAACCACCAGTGACCTACATAAAGCCTCTCCCCTCCCTCTGCTTCACCTTCCTTCTTGGACTCTCCGTCCTGCCCTACTTTAATAGATTATTACTTCAGCTAAACCGTGTAACAGTTTTACAGGGACACTCGGCTAGGACTGAAAACTTGCACATCTAGTTGCAGCAGTGGAAGAAACAGCAGAAGTAATGGTTTCTGCAGCCAGGATCAGCTGTGAGGTGATAGTATGCCATATTATCCCATCTCAAACTCTTATTTCTTCAATGCCTATCATGCAACCCTCGCAAAAAAAGAGTGAGTCAACGACTAACAAAACAGCGTGTTTCTCTACACGACAAAATAAATTAAGAAAAAAAAAAAAACAAACCAGAGCCATTTATGTAACAACTAGGAACAAGGAAAGCAATTTTACTCAATGCAGGGAAGGAGCTCATTCACAGGGGAAGCACATTTTTTTTTTACACATCTCTTTCGAAGATATTTACCCGCAGGATTTCGTCTCTGTTAACACGATGGAGGCTTTCTGCTCCCTTCCTCCTCGATTAAATCGGACATCCATCACGCTCAGACCAGAGGACTGGCAGATCCCGGGAATTTGTCGAGATACCGGCTCTCCCCAGCTCCACGCCCCTCTCCAGGCGCTTCAGACATTCCCGGTGTTGTACCACCCCCTGCGCTCGCAGGGCAAACAAGCCGGGCGCGCGCACGCACACAACCACTACTACACGGCTACAACCGAGCGAACAGGATCCACCTACTACTCGGCGCAGAGCCTGAAAACAACCTACTTTTCATAAACTAAGGCTGCCATCGGTTTGGCAGAGGAGGAAGGCAGACAGTGCCATTTTTATTTAAAGCCAAGCTCCTCAGAGAACACTGCACGCAGAAATCCTTCGTGCCAACAAAGAGGCTACGCTCTAAACATGGGTGGACTATCTCCTCGAGGCAAAACGCAGGTTTATCTTAAGTATTTTGCGCAGTGTAAGATAAAGGAAATTTTCTGAGCCTTTACGCCTACTGATACCTCATTAGGTGTTTTCAAAGACTATATCTTGCTGAAGCTGCAGCTGCACGTAGGTGAATGAATCCGATCCACACACTCATTTCTTCCATGAAGCCGCGGTGGGGCTCAACATGACCACTACTGCGTATCCCGCACTTAATGATGGCTTCCCCATAAATAGAAAAGCGGGTTTTCTAGAAATACTGCATCATGAGTCATCAGCTACGAGCAGCTAAACACCAGGCACCTTGAGAGCAAGGACAGAAATACCAGTGGAACAAAAATAGGGAGGGGGCGGGCGAGAGGAGACCCGCTGGCAGGATTCCTGCTCGTAACCTCCACACCCCCCCCCCCCGGGTGCCTTCTCCCACCATTCACCGCAAACCCCCTCCCCGCACGGCTGCGAGGGCCGAGGTCAGCGCTGCCCCTGCCTCGCCCCCTCCTCCTCCTCCCCGCCGGTGCCACTCACCCATGTCCAGGGCCTGGTTGTACTTCTCCAGGGCGGCCGGCAGCTCCTGGCGCTCCCGCAGCGCGTCGCCCTCGGCGCGGAGGCGCCGCGCCCGGCTCTCGGCGCCGAACCACTTGTGCAGCAGGTTGCCCAGCACCACGTTGACCCGCGGGCGGGCGGCGGCAGACGGCGAGGGCGGCGCGGCGGCGGCGGGGGTCGGCTCGGCGGAGCGGCGCGGGCGGTGGCAGCGGCCGCAGTCACCGGGCTCGGCGCAGCGGCGGCAGTGGGTGTGCCCGCAGTGCAGGGTCACCGGCTCGCACAGCAGCTGCCGGCACAGCGGGCAGGCGAACAGCTCAGGCGGGCGGCAGCACGCCGGGTCGCCCAGACCCTCGCCCTCTGCCCCGCCGCCGGCCGCGTCGCTCCCCCAGGGCGGCAGGCGCAGCTCCTTGTCGCGGATGCTGAGGGCGACGCTCTCCGCCAGCTCCCGCAGCTCCTCGGGCCGCAACCGCGCCAGCCGCGCCGCCGCGCCGTAGGCGTCCAGCGCCTCGGCCATGCGGCCGGCCCTGGCCAGAGCATCGGCGCGGCGGAGGCACAGGCCCCGCTCGGGCTGCGGCAGCCCCGCCAGCTCCGAGCCGTAGATCTCGGCCGCCAGCTCGAAGTTGCCGCCGCGGAAGGCCTCCTCCGCCACCTGCAGCATCTCGGCGCAGGGTCCCCCCGCCGCCGCCCTGGCCCCGGCGGCGGGGGGCAGCGCGCAGGGCCCCGGGCCCAGTTCCATGCCCGCGCGGCGCCGCCAGCCCCGGGCCGCCCTACTCCATGCTGGGCCCGCGGCGCTGCCGACTCCGGCTCCTTCCTGGGAGGGGACGGCGACGGAAGGGAGGGAGGGAGGAAGGGATGGAGAGGGGGCGTGTCACATCGCTGCAGCAGGGGGGCGGCTCCGGGAGGGGGAAGGGGGAACAGCAGAAGGGATGGGGGGCGGACTCGCTCCCGACTTATGTAAGGGGCGAACGGCCGGGTAAAACCGCCCCCATCCGGCAGCCCGGGCGCCCTGCCCCGGGGTGGCGGGAGCGCCGCTTCCCTCCCTTCTCCGCTCCCTCCGGCGGCTGCTGCCGCCGCACGTGCCCGCCCCGCACGTGCCCGCGCGCCGCCGCGCCCGCACGTGCGCCCGGTCCGGCGGCTGCTGCGGCCCTGAGGGAGCGGGGCCGGGGGGGCTTCCGCTGTGCGGCTCCTGCTGAGCTCAGCCTCTTCCTTCCCGTTTCCTGGTGCCCGGCATCAACTGCTTCCTCGCAGGCACTGCCGGACCCTGCCCTCCCGCGGTGTGCCGGGACCCCCTCGGCGCTGCCCGCCCGCCGGGCGCGGCCTCTCGGCCAGCAGCACCTCACGGGGCGGGTCGGGACACGTCCAGCGGCTGCTGTTTGTTTTTATTTCCCCAGTCCCCGAGAAAGCAGGCAGGTGCTGTCAAATAAATAAATAAATGAGAAAAAACAAATTCCCAAACCCCACAACTCTCAGGAAAAATCCTTTTCTGTAAGTGGCAGCCTCGCCGGCGCAGCTTGGGATCCGCGAGTCATGCTGAGCGCTGGCTTGTGCATCGGCAACAACAATAAAGATAATGCAGCTGGAAGTTAGTTAATCATGCGTGAGTCAGAAAGGAATCCAACTCGCTCCGCAGGGATAACAGGAGTAAAAAAAAAAAAAAAAGGCAACGTTTATTTTAGACACAGCTGTAAACAAACCGCTTGGAGAAGCGGAGAGCCTGTCAGTCCAACTGGAAGGTACCCACATCCAGCTGCTTTTTAGACTGCAGCTAGACAGTGGAGGGTATTTTCAGCTTAGCCTCTCTCCTGCTAGGCCTCCAGCCCCCAAATGTTGGCCTCGTAGCCCACGTCAGGAAAATCTCATTCATTAACTATTGTACCAAATAGTCTTTATCCTATGAAAGGATATTATTTTTGATAGAATATTATTGATTTTCTAAATAGTATGACATTATCTTTCTTTAGATATATGTAGTTTATGTCATATACTGCACAGTCAGGCATAACTAAGGATCAGTATTCACGGTGAAATAAGCATGACCAAAGGACCCAGCTCACGGCAAGGAGCAGGACCTTTGTTTCTCAGATCCTCAAAGCCATCCATGATGGATAAAGGATACCTCCGGACTACCAAAGTCGTGCCAGCCATCCTAACCCCTCCGATACCTCTGTGAAACTCTCCCCTTATCTGGCATAATAGATTAGAAACTCTAGCAAGACTGATTCCAGGGATGTTCAGATCAATAAAGAAGCAGGTGGATGATGTCTGTAGAAGTATTGTTGTTTTCCGGAATGGTGATATGTTTGTGGTAAGTTGCTGCGTGACTTACCCATTTTTCACTGTTTGTGTTTCTAGCAGTTGATTCTTTGAGCAATGCTCACTGCTCTAACACTTGTACTGTCTTCTTTGGCTCACAGTTTCTATCCAGAAGGTGACCTCAGCAGCCTGTCACTATTTCATCATTCTCTTTCTTGACATGTTCACTTGGAATTAGGATGGAATCCCATTACCATTTTACCAAAGTCACCTGGGGACATGATTCATAGGTTAGAGGACAGAAACGGTGCAGCCAGTTCTACTCTGAGGTATCAAGGACAAGGCATGGCATCTTGGACAGATGATGAAAATGTGGACTCACTGCTTAAGCCACCCTACAGCGTTATTTTCTGGTTCCTATAACCCTGACAAGGAGCAATGGCATTTTTGCTGATTGCTCCCATCCCACTCACTTGGCCATTAGGCTCTTTGGCTGGGAACTCCCCAGCAGCCCTCCTTGCTTTCCTGCACGAGACAGCAAGGAAGTCCGTCCTGGTGTGCTGCTTTTCCCCATGTGTCTTGGGATTGCTGCATGATGGTCCTTCAGCTCTAGCTGTCCCTTCTGATGGGTGACTCGGGAGGCAACGGCTCAGATGGTGGTATTGAACATTGCCTGTCAGCCCCTCCATTTGCTGCTGTGCTTGTGTCAGCTCATGCTGTGCTGGCATGCTGGAATGGCTGCAGTCCTTTCCTCATCAATGCTTAGCAGGTGCTTCTAGAAGAACCTACTGTGAAGCAAGGCTACTACTTTATTTAGCAACGTGATCAATAGCCTCTTGGCACACAGCATCTATTTTTTCCCAAGACATCTATTTGCAAGGAACAAAATTACCTCACTGCTGTTCAAACCGACTCAGTGTGCCATCTTTTCCCTGTTTCCCATGTGCAGAATTGCTTGCCACCTGCGTCTGAACGCACCTGCGTCACTCTTCTCCTCAATGTCTATTTTGGGGCCCGTGTTCTTTCACAAGTTTTCTTGCTCCAGAGCATGGTTCGTTTGTACATCTGTCTGCACTTTGTTGTTTCCCTATCTGAGCGACAAAGCCACTTTAATACAATTGCCTTTTGCAAAATCGATAAGAATTCACTGAGCTGCAGATCTTGGAGGGATGATGAAAACGTGGACTCACCACTTGAGCCACCCCAAAGTATTCCTAATTTTCAGGAAAGATGAAAGGATTAAGAAACAGCAAGAACCAGGGTTAAAGAAACCAAAGTAAAATTATTAATAATCTATACTTAAGAAGCTCATGCTTCTCACTGAAATTATCAGTATTATGACTACCCCACTGAATGTGACATAGGAGACTCCTGCCAAGAAATTCCAGTGGAACAGGTACTCCATGACATGGTCATGTGGTTTATGGCTTCTTGCTGGATAAACTACAAGCAAAAAATTGCAACAGCCACAAAACAGAATGAATTGGCCATAAAGGACCTGAAAGCTGACACCAAAAGAAACACCAAAGTTGGTTTATAACTTTTATTAGAAGAAAAGCTGTAGCTACTGCATAGGACTGAAATGTTGTCTACCACAGGAGATAAAGGACCTTCTCTTGTTCTCACCAAAACCATGGCAAAACTTCTGCTGGCTTCATCAACTTAAAAAAACCCCATGCAAACCTGTTACCCAAAATTAGCTCCTGTGTAGAAGGCTGTTAAGAGGTGCTCCCCGTTATCAGTACTATTTTCCTGTTAATAGTACACTTCCCCTTAGGAGTGGCCTCATCACGCTCTCTCAAGCAACGTGTAGAAGTCCATCTGCTTTCCAAGGGGAGAATTATAGGTACTTACTCCACTGAGTCACTGTTACACAGTTCAAAGTTGTCATGAGGTTTCCTTTAAGTTCATAGCCTAATTTTCAACTTCCTCCTGAGGCCCAGCTTCCACAGGGTTTTCCCCAGGGTAGAATTTACTTGAAGCTTGAAGGGGAAAGGAGAAGATGAAGCAACTTTGAAATGACAGCATTTACATATTTGGAGGGCATTTTTAATTTCTCTAACACTTTTCTAATCCAAGGTAGTTTGAAGTATTAAACTCCATTTTGTTTTGATGATTTTTTTGAGGAAATCTGTCTTTTATTGTTTCAAGATGAGTTAATTAGGATATAATCAGTCCACAGGGTCACATACAGGTACCGTGCTAAAATGTTACAGAAATTGTAAAGTCAAAGACACAAAAATTAGGGTACATAATAATTAAGGCTGTATATGCTTATTTAATATAGCCTTCGTGCATTAACCTGATACGATTTTAATTAATGACATACTATTTTCTCAGCAGGATGCATGTCTGTTGTGGTTTAACCACAGGAAAGAAGATAATTAATGGGCATCCAAATTGTAATGTTCTCTCTGGTCACTGTGCAGCCCCCTTACACCTTTTGATTTGTATTAGTCATACTTTGCTGTGGTAGCACAATTACAGATTTCCTTGTGTGCTTTTCTATAAAATTCAGGGTACAGCACTGGAATATTCCCAAATATGCACATATTTATATTTGCAGCAAGAGCGTGAGTCAAAAGGAATAATAATTTGCCCTTTAGCAGCTGGGAACTTGAGGTAAGTCCAGAGTGGCCACTAACTTGGGGCACTGGATTTAGGGGATGAAATTTCAGAATATGATTTTTCAGATGTGCAGATTATTTCAGAAGTACATCTTCCTTCTGCTGAGCAGCAACTGGACGGAGGTGCTGAGACTTCAGCCTGAGTTTGGGCTTCAGCTAGAGCACTCTGCAAACAAGAGCTATGCAAAATATAGACACCACCACCACCACCCAACACACGATGTAAATGCCTCACACTTCGGCAGAGAGGAAACTCACAGCAGAGTGCCAAATGCAGTCCTTCCAGCCAGCACTCAACCTGCTTTTCTCTTTCTTTAATCACTGACTCATTTATTACAAGCTTTCCAGCTTTTAAAAGAAAAGGTCACTGTATGATTATTACTACTAAAGTCTTTGCCAGTTTAATGAATTTGCCCCAACTGAAAATGCAAAAATGTATTTTTTTTTCAAGAAAGCCTTTTTTTTCAGAAGTATTTTATAAGAAAGTTGCAGGATAGTGCCAATGATGAAAAAGTTGCAAAGGTGCTACTTAAAATCTACCAATGTTAAACACAACAAAGATATTTCCTCCCCCCTGAAGAAATACAATATGTTAATCCAGCTGCTGTGAATCGCAGGAGCTAGGATTATTTCTGGAGATTCTCTTGGTTTTTTGCAACATTCCAAAGAGAGAGATGGGTATTGTCTTTTCAGAGTGACACATGTATATTGTGTACAAAAGGTGTTATTCATAACTACACCCTTCATGGGCTGACGGGAAGATTAAACAGCTTAATAATTGTCCAACAAATCATTAACACATCCTATGATGCAAAAGGAGCCAATTAAAGTGTACTACCATATTCTCTTTCAATAGCTTCTGAGATAAGCACTGCAAAGAAAATCCCCTTCCCTAACTATGATAACAATCAGTCTTTATAGAATGAGAATGTATTAGCTTTTGTAATTTATGTATTAGTTCACATTATACACTGTAATGTAATGAGGTGGTATTGTTCATTCTTAAGTAAAACAAACTAAAGGACAGCCCAGTCCCAGTGGCTGTGCTACTTCCTAGCATAGAATCAGGGAATTTTTCAGTCTCATTCAGTAAACATCAGCTTGGATTTTTTGGAATAATACACAAATATTTCCCACTGTGGTGATTCACATACCTGAATAAATATCAAGACTTGTGTTTCTTTCTGTTGCTGGTGCCACCAGGGCTGTTGTCAGGCACAGAGCTGAAGGAGGATGCCCTCGGGTTGAGTGCTGATCTCCATCCACCTCTGGTTACACAGGGTCAGTTTGCCCACTGAGTGGGAGGGGGTTCTGCAAGCAAATCCATGGTGAAACTGGGTGAAGTTACACCTCTATGCAATCCCTGTTTAAACTGTGGCTTAGCAAAGCAGCACTTGCACTACTCTGGACTCCTGTACATGCTTAAGTGCAGCAGCACCTGGCCCAGGCTGAAAGCTAGCAGCCCAAGCATTTACCCTGCATGGGTGGAAAGCGCTGTTGCCCATGCTCATGTCACACCAGGGTGTCCTGGAGTTCAGTGAGATGACACACACTCTGGCAAGGGACTCTCCTGGCATCTGGTAATGAGCTCACTTTAAAAAGCAGGATAGCACACTGCAGTTCATGACATCACAAATCCCTTCTGGTGCCAGCCACCCACATGGGTGGTCATCCAGCTGGATGGTGGCACAGCAGTGGCATCTCCATGGGTACAGCAGACATCTATTGGCATCTGAGGACCTCTCCCATTTCTGGAGCCGTGCACAAATATTTTTCAGGGAGATGGCCTGCCTTGGAAATATGGATGGGGAGAAGCTTTTCTCGAGGTATGATCTCTCCCAGTCCTGCTAGGCCACCATTTTCTTCTCAGATGTTTTATCTCCTTCATGGTATGCTTGACTTTTGAAACATCATTAATCTTACATCTCTCTTTTTACATGGCATTTTTTTCATCCTGTTTTCTGGCTAGTGTTACCAGCGGGAAAAGGACCCATTGAAATGCAGCACCTTGATCCAATTCATAAGGGGTTTCCCTATAGTTTTACAGTGTTGGTGTGACACCACCAGCAAGTCTTCCCTGAGAATGTGTTTGGGAACAAATTTTCTAGAAGCCTGGAGAAGGACATCCTGGTGTTGTGTTCGAGCATCTTATCCTTGGTCAAAGCTTCTCATGCCTTACGGGCTGTGGCCCAGGTACTACCCTTATTGATAGAGGTGTGAGGGCTTTCATTTCAGGAGTGCTGCCTGGGATTCACCAAAGGGAAAGCTGGACCTCAGGCATGAACTTCTTTCCCAAATTTAAAATTCTTGGTTGGTGGCAATCTAGCATGAGAAAGGCAAATGACATCAGTTAGATGCACACATGAAATACTGTTTTGCCTGAAATTTTCTTGTTCTGTTTCAATCAATTCTTTACTGTGAGTCAGCCTATGACACATTTTCAAAAAAACTCCCAGTCATTATGCTAACAAAATTAAATGTGGGTCAAATGGGAAAAACATTGCAAAGAGCTGACAGTGTTAGGGCAGAAGAGAAATCACGTTCTTACAGGTAGAGAGCACTGCCATGTCTTGTCCCCCCTGTAAACTGCTGATTGCTGTCTTCATGACCCTGCTCAAGGAATACACTCTGGGAGTCTCTGCTGCAGCTATCAGTGATTCCTGGTAAGGTGTTTAGCGTGGGTCCCTTACAGACCACCCATCACCTTGAGCCTCATTGCTGTCATCAGCTCAAGCACCAGAAACCTCCTGATGACATCCCTGGCCCTAGAAGTCGAGCAGCCTACAAAACGCATAGGCAGGTTGGACAATAAAATCTGGAGACAATACAGCAAAATAAAAATACATCTGCTGATCTTTTCCAGCCAAGCCCAAACAGGACAAGGCAAGTTTCCACCTTCTAAACAAAAGTATCTTTTTTTTTTTTTTTTTTTTTGTCAGAGTCAATTATTGAAAGAAGAGTATAGTGTTTTTTCATATTTTGATTAAACACTGATTTTGGGTCACCACAGCAGAGCAGGCTGCTACAGTGGAAAGGTCAGCCATCCTGTTCTACAGGGTGCAGCTGAGGGGGTGAATTTCATCAGCTGCCCAAATCAGGGCATCGCTATTTCCGAGTCAGAACCTCCAAAATTTCTACTGAGTGGGCTGGGCTGTGGAAACATGGGCTCAGAGAAGATCACTGGATGGTCACTGGGTGACTTAGAGAAGGAGCTGGCTCCAAGCACCCAGGCCAAGAAGGCAAACTGGATGTTTGCTACTCCAAGAAATGAAAACCCATGTGCTGAGACTCTCCTGCAGCACGAGGAGGATGCTGAGCCATGAAGAAGAGTGAGGTTACATGGCGGGGATCAGCACGGATGACAGCTTTAGGATGGTGTCACCAAGCCAGTAGGTTTGGTTGCACACATCTCCCCAAACTCAGCCATCAGGACACAGGCAGGACCATCTGCCTCCTTTGCCAGGCATTGGGGAGGGCAGCAGCACCACAGCCACGTTATCCTTCAGCAAGGGAGCGGCCATTACCTCAGAAGCCAAAAAGCCAGGCAAGCAGGGCTGAACAAAGCTACAGAAGAGTCTGAGGGGATTTCTGCTCACACAGAAGTGAGGCAATAAGATGACCTGAAGAAGGAATAAGAGAGTAACAAACAGGGAGGGAAGAAGGTTTGAAGAACTGATTAGTAAATGGCTACCATCAGAAAATAGGCCAACTCAGTTGTGGGAACAGCATGACTGAGACCAGGAAAATGCTACAAGAGTGTGAAGAGACAGGATATCTTGTTTGGAAAACGCAGTGCAGACAGGAATAAAAATATTTAGACAAAACCAGAACATTAGGGCCAAACTGTAGGAAACCAAGATTACAGGTCTGAGTAACAAGAAATACAATGATACAGATGGTTCTGATCAAACAGGTTAGCCAAGGCTAGGTACCCACCAAGGACTGTAATGAGCATGCATCATGACTTATTTTAGCTGTGGGGAGAAAGAAGCTAATAGCTGAAGCTGTGTTTGGGCTGACATCACTCAGAGGGGCATTGAAGAGAAAAGCTCCAAGGGACAGCATCCTTCTGCCTTAGGACATGAAAGAAAGGGAATCAGGAGACAACGGCCAGAACACTTCCATGGAGGACAGGATGTAACTGCAAAACACATTGGGTAGGACAAAAAAAACAGACTGGGATGACCTATAGTAGAATTAAGAGTAGCACATTGATAGCATTTGGAGGTGAAGGGGCAGGCAGGCAGGAAGGGCAGTGTTATGTGACAGCTGCAAAAAATGACGTTTACCACATAGGCTGGTAAGAAGCTGAGGGGAAGAACAAGGTAAAGGGTAAGAGAAGGCAGGAGGTGAGAGGCTGCAGTCTCTGGGGAAGGAGAGGCTGAAGATGGCAAGCACTTTTAAGCTTCTATAGCAGCAGTGCCATGGGGAGATGAAACACAACAGGTTCCTTCAGACACCTGGGATGTCTTCTCAAATGTCTTTTAGCTTTGAAGAAATTAGCCAGATTCCAAGTTGGAGAGCATTTTGAGCAAAAAACACTGGATTCAGCCACAGGACCAGAAAGACGGAAGAACAGAAGTAGAAAAAGATAAAATCCTTGCTTTGTTTGATTGATTATTTTTTTAACCTATGTCCACTGGACTCATGTATTAATTACTGAAGAAAAACAAGATCACGTAAAGGAGTTCACAGCCAAAAATAAGGTTATGTGCATGTAGATTGGCTCAGTCACAACAAAGATAATCCTTTATTCTGCTTTATTCACCATCCAGATTCATCGGGTGTTATCCAGCTAAGAATTATTAGTTTTAAAACTAATCCAGATTTAAGGAAGCCAATAGTAAAACTTCAAAGGATTAGATCAGCCCCTTTAATGAAATATCTGAATGCAACCCTATCAAAAGAACTGAAAAAGCAAAATATAGGTATTGACTCCACCATAAACAAGTGGCTATTTTGTGAATCACCCTGTTAGGGAACAAAAGAAGAACACTGGGAAGTGAATGCCTGTGTAATAATCACCATTGCCCCAGTTAAAACTAATTATTTGGAAAGAAGTTAAGACAAGAAGGGAAAAACACTTCTGTGATTAATTGCATTTGCAGTGTGTTAGCTAGCATACAAGCAAAAACCTTTTGTACATGGAAAGTACAAAAATAAGTGTAGGACGTTTGTAGCCATTTTGATTCAAAATACTTTTTAATGAATGCAGCAGTGACTAAAATGAGTAAGAACACAAGAGTGTCTTCCATTAAGATATTTAGAATGAGATCTCTTAAAGCTGTTAAGGTTTCCAGTGAAATGTAGTCTGAACAGCTAGCAGGGTCATGCAGAACCAGATACGGCTTTCAAATGTGTGTGAAGTTCATACATAAAGCTCATTCTTCTATTCATGCAACAACATAAGTAAAAAATTTGTAGTCTCTCAGTCATGGAAATACATGGTACTTACTTCTAAGGGCTATAGGTGCATTTTAAATGGTCATTCTTATAAAGTCCTATTATGGAATATCCATAGCTGACTGCTAAAGCTGACCATTCATTTACTGATTATCACATGAATAAATCCTTTTCCAGCCTACTCTCAAGCAAACCATGCACAATACGTAGTCTTAATCCTCCCTGCATACATACACACACCTACCTTCTGGTTTTATTAAACTAGTAATCAGCAGACTACACACCACTCTGATCTGTTATAGCAGTCTCTTCTCCCCAGACTGCTTGGCTCAAATCCTCTGTAAACATTATTTAGATGGTGTCTTTCAATGTCTTTATTTTTCTAGGTGGGGCAGCAAACCCAATCCTTTAATAAAGTCAGCAGATTTCATGGACCACAGAGTCAGTGTCAGCTAACCAGGTAAAGTAATACAGGCAGGTGTCACTGATGACTTACAACTATATTCAAGGCTAAAAAGGTGTGCCATATCTCACTAGGCGGTCAACTGGCTCACTTCCACCTGAAATTCAAATTGGTCACTAAGAAAAAAGACTCACGGTGTCTGGAAACTTAATCCTCATGTCTCTGGTTTGTCAGGTCAAAGAGAACAAACAACAGTGTAATTAAGTGTGAATCGATGCAAGTGATTTGCAGAAAGATACAGACTGCTGCTACATAGCCGCAAAATTAAATGTCTTCTGGATATCATGCCAGGGGTTTAGATTTACACCACAAAGGAATAAAAGACATCCTAGTGCTTCTCTCTTGAATTCCCTGCTAGGTCAGCTTGATTTGATTTTTAAAACAAATTTCTGGAAACAGGGATTGATAAACAAAACAATGCAATTTTTTTTCTTTTAATTTATCCCTTTCCATTTCTCTTCAGCCCACATATCATGGGACTGACATACAAGGTCGAAGAAGTTGAAAAGCTGACTGTTTCTTCAGTGCATGCCAAGAACAGAGCTTTATTCCATGAGGATTACTAGAGTGGTGATGTACATGAGAGTACTAGGACATAAACCCCACTGCTACAAGTCAGTCCCAGTTCTTCCCACCTCTGATGATTGTTGTGGTAAGGCGCAGGATCCTCCACCAGCATCTATGCCAGAACAGACATCACATCTGATCTCCTGGCTGTAGTGAACTGAAGCATCCCACATTTGATCAGATGAAGCTTGAAGAAAGTTTAGAGTGCAAATGAATAATAAATATTTAACTGTGATGATAATGGAAGGTAAGTACCTGTCAAGGTAATTAAAACTAAGACCTTTTACCAAGAGCTGTGATGACTTCTCTGGTAATGGACCTTTGTAAATTCAGGTCAGGTTCCTTTCTCCTCCCCTTTCCTAAATGTACACCTGTGGTCAAAATAGAGTCAATTCAGGAGTACAGTTTAATGGCTGTGTGATGTAGAAAGTCAGAAAAGATGACTACAGAGTCTCTGTACAACCTGTGAATCAGTCCAGGACAGAGATCCCTAACACAACTTTTCCCTAGCTTCTCTGTGGTCGTTCTGGTTCACAAGTCTCTCTTGGAGTTGTTTGCCCATGTTTGGGTGAAGTTTCACTCAGAGCTTGCACAGCAGCATTAATATTGTCCTGTCTTCACCAGAAACCCCGAAGTACATGCCTAAATAACAAATACTAGGCACAGGAGTGGAGGAGTGGTGACAATGCTTGACTCGCTGCCAGGAGATCTGTGTAAAAGCATTCGCAGCAGGGCAGCTTAAGGGTATTCTGATTTAATTTAGAACTCAAGCATAATTTTTCTTAATTAACTAAAAATACTCTCTTTGTTTCCAAAGTCTGATCCTGGCCCTCATCCTAACCCATAAAATGACCAAAAACCCCCACTTTAGGCCAAATAAGCAATAGTGATGTAAGCTAGTCATTACCCATTTACAAGGATTTTCTCCATGCACATTTCATTACCTTCACACAAATACCTTATGGCTTCTGCAACTGTAAAAGGATTACTAACAGTGGCTTCCCTTCCTACCATACACTGAACATCCCAGTTTCTATGTGCGTGTCAATCAAGGCAATGAGTAGCAGCCATCAAGCACTTACTGTGTTTCTTTGAAAGGCACAGCACAGCACACGCACAGTGCCATTCAGGTGTTCCAGAGGCACTGTCCTCCAGTAAAACTGGGTCCCATAGCAGTAGTGCTCCAGGTTAAAAACCTCCCAGTGAGTCAACAGCATGAGCTGTCAGGCCAAAGGAACTCCCTGACAAGTGAAATTGCTGTTTGTGTTCTGCTCAGCACACCACACCCAGTCTTATGTTACTTGGAAAAGAGCGTGTGAGCAGGAGATCACATTGCCTGGGTACGAAGGTGGTGGTGGAAAACAAGGTAAGAAGGTCAAGAGTACAGCCAAGCAAATGTTGCTTTCTTTGTGTCTCAAAAAGGGGGGTTTGAATGCAAGGAATTCTACAAAGAGCCTTGCTTGCATGCCAAGAGGTTGGAGAGAGTAATGTTAATCAGATGGAGAAAAAAAGGTAGCAGCAGATAGGATCACTAAATGTTCCTTTCTAGCCCACTTACACTGACCGGCACTTGGCAAGCATTTCACCTTCTGCACAGGTCACTTCATGGAACTACATGTTCCATGGGCTCATCCTCCATATAACTTCTGTTTTCAAGAGAAAAAGGACAGAAAGGTAAAGTTAAGCAGTAAGTTGAGGAGAACTATGCTTGCTGCCTCCCTAGACCATAGTAACAGAACAATGTGGATTGTGAAGGATCTCTGGAGATCATCTGCTACAAACCCTGTTCAACACAGGGAAAAACGCAGAGTTAGATGAAGGCACTCCCTGGAGAAGGTTGCTGTGTACAACTGAGTTTCACCTCCAAGGATGGCAATTTTTCAGCTGTCCTGGGCACATGCTCCAGCACTGACCCACCATTGCTACCTGTTTGGTAGTTTAAGAACACAGTCTGTACAGCTGAGGAAAATACAGTGTATAAAAGGGATGGGGGGGTAAGTTTATATACAGTGTGCTCCCCAGCAGGTTGGTCTCCAGCCTGTGCTGATGCCTGGATTGTTCTAACCCAGGTGCTGAACTCTGCACTTCTTGGTGAGTTTCAAGAGGTTTCCACTGGCCCAGACCTCAGGTTTTTCGCTGCTGCTCTACCATCCACAGCATAGCCTTCTCCTGCCCAGCACACAATTTAGTGCCATCCTCAAAAATGGCTGAAGGTGCGCTCTGGCTCATCATCTGAGATCAGTGATGAACATATGAAATAATACTGACCCTTTGCATTGACCTTAGGACACTCTTTTTACTATGCTTTGCCACCTGGACATTGAGTCATTGATTATTACCTTTGAGTCTGGCAATCTGGACAACTTCTAATCCATCTTCCCACTCCCTCACCCACCCTGCATTTCATTAGGAGAGTCCTGTGGGACACCACATCAAAAGACATTTTAGAGAGAAGATAAATGATACCCACCGCTGTCCCCATGTTTCCAGAGCCAGCTGTTCCTGCACATCCAGGCTGACCAGGAGTGACATGCATGTGGTGAAACCATGCTGACTGGTCCTGACTGGCCACCCCGTACTTCATGAGTCTGAAAATGGATTCCCAGGGCATGTGCTGTGTGATTCTTGCCACCCAATGGACGGAGAGAGGCTGCTCACCCTGCTGCTCCCTAGATCCTAATTCACTAGTATTAGTCTTTTTCCCCATCATCAGAGAGATCTCCATGATTTTCCACTGATGATCAGCAGCAGTCTTATACTCACACCACCCTCCAGCCCCAAGTATTTGTGAGGAAAACTCATGCAGTGTATGAAGACTTGTGGAGTGCATTAATGCACGTACCATAAGAGACTCACAGAGACAAATCCTTCCTGGAATTCAGATTGAGATGAATGGCAGCCCTGGCATCCTTCATAGGTTCTTAATGCCAGTCTTCTTGCACAGTCAGTCCCTTGCTTCTCCTCCATCTCCCACCCTGTTGGATTTCAGTCCTGTTATTTTTCTCTCCCAAGCTTTCCTGAAGTGGTCAGTCTCCTTATCTATGCCTATATCCCAGATTCTGTACTGTGGCTCTGGTGCATGCCTTTCACATATTCACCACCAGAGCAAACTGGTGTGACTGGCCCTTAAGAAATACCCTGAGCCCATGCCCATTGGTATACATCCTTATTCATACCAACCCCCTTTCCCCCAAAACCCGAGTATCAAGGGTGCAAAGCCAAGGTCAAAAGTTCAGTAGCACTGAAGTTAGAGTGGCCTGAACAGGTGGGAATTTACTAAGAGAGATCCTAGGAGCTGATCTGCAGAGCCAAGGGTGCTGAGGTCACTACATCCATACTCAAGGGGTTTCTGTTCAGCATGGTATGTTAGATGCTTACATGCATCTGAGGAGCCCACTTCTTGTGCCCCAGGAACAAGACATTTGAACCACAGCATCAAAGGAATGGCCAGTCAGAGGTTTATTTCACAGGAATGCTCCTGACCCACACTGTAACTTCTATCACAAAGTGATAGATAGTCTGTGGATAGATAGCTCTGGATAGTCTGTGATTTCATAGCCAACATTAATACCAGCAACTCTGGGCTCCAGGGAAATGTGCCTGCTAGTCCTGGCTCCCTTTCACCTTACAGCTATGCATTATGCTTGTTTCTCCTCCTTCATGGCTGAGCAGCTTTCCTCTGATTAGTTTTGTCCTTTCAGGGCATGTTTATATGACACTGCCCAGAGCAGGACTGAGAAACTCCCCATCTTTTCTTTTTCCAGCCAGTAATTATTTTTCCAAAATGCCTGTTACCTACTGCACAGAAGGCCTTAAGAAAGAAAACCCACCCATTTTGGAGTGTCAGCTGACGTACCTAAACCTAAGTGTCTTATTCAGACTCCAGCCTTGTCTGACTTCAGTTGCAGCTGTGAACAAACAGGGCTCATACATGTCATATCTGAAGGTTTGCAGTTAAAGAATGAGGAACCTGTAACCAGTGACATGATTAGTGAGAGTCGGGGTTTGGTGACATAATAAGCATCATGCAAAACTTTTGCAGCAACTGCTGGCAGATTGTAAGATCATAATTTTTCTTCATGCAGTTCTCCCCTCTCTTAGTATCCACCTTCTATTTTCTGAGAGAGGTAACAAAGCAGAACCACAGGCATTTTAATTGTCTTCAAGACCTGCTCAAGCGAAGAGCTCCATTTCTCCAGTACAATGAATGAGACATGAATTCTGTGGAAAATATTGTAACGTGACAATAGAATGAAAATAACTTCTATGCTAAGAAGTGTGGGCAAGAGGGGCACAGGGGAAGCCCCTAATATTGGCATTTCCTGGCCTTTTGTACCAGCTTGTTGCAAACTCATCACTTCCTGAATGTAAATTTCTAGACATAGGCCAAACAAACAAACAAACAAACAAAACAACCACACAAACCACCACCACCAAAAAACCAAGCAGACAAATAAAAAATAAAACAACCTCTCCCCCCCAAAAAAAAATCCACAACAGAAAAAGCAAAGCAAATCCAATCAGCTTTAGTGTCATTCATAGGTTCTTAGTGCAAGTCTTCTTGCACAGTCAATCCCTTACTTCTCGTCCACCTCCCGCTCTGTGGAATTTCAGGCTGATTTGTTTTACGTCAAGTAACAGGTGTTAAACAAAGCAAACTCAAGTAACTGCACAGAAGTCCAGGTTCCCTGACTCTCTCTCAGGTAGAGCAGACTACACTAAATCTTTCTGTTCCTTTAGCTCAAGTAAAGTGCCTAGCAAACTCAGTACGTTTCAGAATAAAACTTTACAAAGAAAGCCCTCAACTACATCTTAGAAGTTTCAGATGGCAAATGAAAGTACCATTTGCGGTCTGGAGCATTAGGTTGCTGCACCGATGGCAAACACATACACCTCTGATGGTTTGTGTGTCAGGAAAAACTAAAACAATGCATCAAATTAAGCTCCTGACAGTATTTGGTGTACCCTGTGTTAGCTCTAAGCACTGGCAGCCTACATGCTAAGTTCACTCTGCATGACTGAACCCAGAGGTTACAATTCTCTTTTAAGGGTATCTGCTGATAATAAAGCCATAAATATTTTAGTCCTGCTCTGTCTCCTACAGGAACTTTTCACCTTTTCTAAACATGTTACAAATACCTTCAGTACTCTTACCCTTATAGCACAAGTTTTGTTTACGGGATTCAGTCATCAATAAAACTTATTTAATATGCTGTCCCTCCAGCGACAGCTTCTTCATGT